CTTGATAGGGTTACACTGGTTGAGGCGCTCCTTTTCAAGACTTGGAAGCCTGCGGGTAACGAGCCATTGGACGTGGAGAGGGTCATTAATTATACACATATTTTCTACTTTGCCGAACATTTGCACGAGAACGGTTTGTTCAAAACATATGAATTTGATCTTATTTAATGCAGAATTAAATGCCCTTCAACCATCAGGAAGACCATTTTTCGATAGGGTAAGTCCTTTACGCGGTATAACTGGAAAACCGAAAAAGCGCCCCTTTCGGGGGCCCCCACCACTTAAGCACAACTCCGTCGAAGTCGAAAACTTAGGAGAGTCTTAATGGGCAACCAATGAAGCCATTAAAGCAATAAAATCTTTTGTAGGAATTATTTCCGATTTAAAAGCTAATTCTACTGGACTATAACCTAATCTTCGATAATAAGTAGTTAGGTAATAACTGTATGGATTTGGTAGGAAATTATTGGAACTACTGACTATAATTATTAATATCGGATCAAAATCTACTAGTCCAGTAGGTACCTATTTTAAACGATAAACGTTTATTAAATAAAAACAAGTGCAGAAGGAATTAATATTGACAATCATTTAATAGAGAGGGATTTTCAGATAATGTAAACTGGGATCGGAAAATACTTGTTGCTTTTTGATGATTTAGGGATTTTCTTCTGTGAGGAGAATGATAGAAGAAATTAATAAATTGTATATTCATTTCCGATTTTCTAAAGTCATCTAGCTAGTCTAGCTAGGCTAGGCTAAAACTAATAGAGCCGCAAATGTGGCACCGTCTACTGAAACATCGAGATAAAATGCTGATTTGGCAAAAGAAGCAGTTAAAATAGCGATTACTGTTCCCGAGAAACTCGTTCCAGGTTTTTTGCTGAAGGTAAAGCTTTATTACACCCACCTCCACAGAGATCACAGGCCGCTTTTGTCACCTATGAAATATATGTTGAAATAATAAGCCTCTAGCAGTTTGGTCCACGAGAGAGGATTAAATTTTGTCACAGCTATACTACAGAAAATCACGGCGATGTAATTGACACAAAACTGTCAGTAAATATTTTTAGTCAGTCAGTTAGTAATCAAGTTCTAGACAAAAATTAAAGGCGACGCGCGGGTAGGTAGATGCTTATATCTTCTACGTAGCGTTCTTTTACGTCATAATTATCATGGCTGAAACAACTTGAGTATAACAAACACATTGTATACAGCAGCGGTTCCCAAACTTATTTAGTCTACTGCCCACTTTGAGAATAAATTATTTTTAGCGCCCCCCTTTTTTGTAGACAAGAGTCGAGCTCAGTCGGTGTCTAAGAGTCCTCCTAGTAGATGACGCCTCCCAAGCCTCTACACAAGTCCCGATTTTTTTTCTGGGTCTCTTACCGCCCCCCTTTAAGCCTGCAGCGCCCACAAGGGGGCGTTATCGCCCTCTTTGGGAAAGACTGGTATACAGGCTTGCTGTTTCTCCTAAAAAATTCGACTAAGTAAGCGGATAGGGGAACACCCCCCAGTCATGGGGGTATTGGTTTATCGACGTGGAGTCGTGGACAAAAACCGAAACGTGAGCAACGAGCCACGAACCAAGACATTTGCCCGCATCTTTAAAAAAACCCCACAGGTTGGGGCACTTGGGTCTGGCGTGGCATTTGCCCATTCATGGAGGGCCTCTATCAGTACTTCTCTGAATCTCTGATCAGCACAGCTGACTGAGCAGCTTAGAGACGGATAGTGCAGACCGTAACTTTACCGGATAGGTCCTGTTTGTTCTAACTGTGCCGTGAGTGGAAAACCTCTATAAAAACAACTGGAGGAGGGGATTGGGAGTTGGGGGACTCACCTCGAAACCGGAGTGGCTCATTTAAGAGGCAGCCATAATACCTGACACGGAGCTGCGGACGACTGTCCAAGTTAGGACAATAACTCGAGGCTCCGTTTTATTGAGGTCCGGTGGACACCATTGAGTTTCAGTTGGTAGGCTTTTCATCTTTTAGTGAGCAGGATCTGGTGGGGAGAGTCCCACATAACCCACTGCCCGTCTTTATGGGCCAGTGGGTATGCGCAAAACATATAGGTACTACCCCGGACCGGAATCTATCGCTCTCTAAGGAATTTCTCTCGAAGCTCGAAGTTAGTAAAATTTTGAGAGCTCTGAGAAACCATTTGATCCACAACGGCCAAAAGTGCAGACGACGAGTACTAGATTCTTGAGTTAAGACCACGAGTACCAAGACTAAGTGCTAAGCAAAATTGATAATGGGCGACTTCTAACCTAGGTTCGTAGCACCCAACCGAGTAGGCTTGATACGGACAGACCATGGGTGCGACTTCTCTCTACGCTGAGATTGATATTTTTCAGCATAGAAATGGACCTCTTTTTAATGCCTATCATTTATCAAATGAATACATGAGAAAATAGCATGAAAGAAGCGACACGTAGGTGTTCGTGGAATACCTGTACTGTACCAGCTGGGAGTAGTTAAGTAGTCGGCCGTGATTTGAGGAACTCCTTGAGTAAACGTTTTGATGCGTCAAGTATATTAACCACCATTTACACACTCCATTCAACGACTGCGTAAATAGATCAGTCCACAGACTCTCGGTAAATAGGTCTCGTCTAGTCTTGGTCAGCTTGGTCTTTAAGGTCACCTTGTTTTTCTTGGAAAAGGTGTTCAACAGCGTAAATGTGATAGTTATTTTTGCATGTTGTGACCATGGATTTGTATGGATTCTCCATGATTGTCCATATTAAGGTGAACTTGAACGAGGTATCTTTATCAGCAAAACAGAATAGAGCAGATATGTTTAAATGGTAAGTTAGCGTGGCTCATGTTCTGCCTTGTGCCACCAAGGTTTTCGCATATGTCCAGATTCCTAGGGGCGCGATTTCGGTAAGAGCCAGATATATAAAAAAACCTATCCTATCCAGGAACACCAGGAAGTTTTCTTCAGTGCGGAATCAACCTGTTTTTCGTGTGCAAAGCGGCCCCATACCAGCCACGTGAGTGTTCCTGCCTCTCTATTTCTCACCTCTCTCTCCACTGCAACTCCTGTGTAGTCAGATTTGTATAATATCTTGACCACCAATAAAAGCTAACCAGTGAACACTGAGTTGGTAGTCCCAAAGGAAAGATTCTCAATAGAGTCACAAAAAAGATCAAAAGGAAATAAATAGCAGTTTGATGTTGATAGTCCATACTGGGCACACTCGAGCCCACTAACAAATTCAAATTATTTATTTGCTAAAAAAATAGGGTAAATACATAAGTGGTGTTGGTATTTTATTAAAAGTGCATTCCTATTTAGCTAATGTCAGTTAGCATGCAAATTACAATTGATCATAAAATAATGTCGATTGATTACATAATATTTATTTATATTGATTCCAATAAAATTCATTAGCATATTTTTTCAGTCAAGAATGCAACAGTAAGTTTTCTGTGTATATTTAGGATATTGCAATTATTAAACTTTACTTTGTTTAATGTAACTTCTAGTTTTATTTCCTAAAGTATTATTGATTTATAGTGCAGGCCTTGTTTTACTGGAGGTAGGAAGAATTTTAGGTACTAATAAATGGTTTGATAACTTCTGGTACAAAATAAAATAATCCCAACTAATATTATAAATGCGAAAGTAACTCTGTCTGTCTGTCTGTCTGTTACGCTTTCCCGCTTAAACCTCGCAACCGATTTTGATGAAATTTGGCATAGAGATAGTTTGAGTCCCGGGAAAGAACATAGGATAGTTTTTATCCCGGTTTTTGAAACAGGGACGCGCGCGATAAAGTTTTTCTGTGACTGACAAAATTCCACGCGGGCGAAGCCGCGGGCGGAAAGCTAGTGTATAAATAACTAAAACCCTGCTTTACACACTTGAAACAGGTGGATTGCACTTTCACTTGTCCAACACACCTTTTCTGGGAAGCAATATTCAAAGTACTTAATTTTCACAATTATTTTTACATCACAAGAAAATATGGATTTAGCATTTGGGAGAGGCTTATGTCCAGCAGTAGATGTTTTGTGGTGTGTGTGAATAATGATTATGTCAAAGCACCTGCGGGTCTAGACAAAGTGCAAATTATAATCGCAAACCAGTCGAAAAGTGGTCGAAAAGCCCCTTTTTTGTATGGAATTTTGACAGATTCGATTTTCGATTCGATCAAAAAGTGCGTTTTGTCTAGGGGGGCTGGGCTTAACCCTGCTGTAACTGTAAATGTAACATTAAGAAAAAGAACCAACTGGGAACTTTGTGGAATGGAGCACAGTAAATGCAATAATTCCCAAAAAGGCTGCAGATTGATCATTTCATTAGGTAATGTTTTTGAGCAATAGTTTCTCAAAAATTGTCTATGTTTAAAAACCAGTTGAAATTCATTTGATGTCTTTAAAGAACCTGTTACAATGACTTATAAACATAATTAAAATCTTAGTCATGCCACTTGGTAACAGTTTATGTTTTGCTTTGTCTATGTTGAATTCACCGAACATGGAACAGCTTGTCGCAGGAACAGTGAATTTACTCGATGCCCCTAATATCATGTGCCCCTAATGTCATAATTTATCATGAGCTAATTAAAAAATTAAATTTTTTTTCATATTTTTTAAAAAGATTTTTAAAATTAGATAGAGTATGTACGTAAATGTTTAATTTTAAGTAATTTAAACTTCAAACAAGCCTAGCCTCATAATAATTATAAATAACATCTACCTACCTTGTACGAAAGTACCCACATAAAGAAAGAACTCCTTAGGACAAAGGAATATAAAGGAAAATTATACATATTTTTATATTTTGAAAGGCTGTCCTACTTTTATTTTATTGAGCCAAAACGCAGGAAATATTTCGAACATGAGGGAAGTGGATAAAAACCACTATTACATCATGACCTTCTACCAAATAGAGCGATCCAGAGTTACAACTATAAATTTAATAAAAAATGTTGTGTGGGCATATTAGTATCTTTTATCTACAATCAAAATGGATTTACTTACATTGCGAAGTGCCAGCAGAAGGTATGCAGTGTGGAACTTCGCCTGTTGGCCTAATTTACACACATTGCATCTACCTCAAATGAGACGTAATAAATGGCTAAAAACGCAGTCCATTTATCGTATGTGACGTTTCACAGAAATTCAAATCGATTATTTATGCACACTGCTTGAATTTCAAAGAAACCACATTCAGTTCACAAAATGTCACCGTTTCAAGATGAAATGACACTATTCAATTTTGATCCATACTGATTTTCACTGATTTTTCAAGCACTGTGAAGAGAACAAAAACAGCTGGTTTTGCTCAAAACTCCTTCCTTTTCTTTGTGTCATTTTACACACATACAAACGCGAAAAGCTGTCGAAAACCGGTAAATCTGCTCAAAAATTGTCTATGTCGCCAATTCAGCATGTGGTGGCGCTGATGTCAATGGATCAAATATCACCAATATCACCGAAATATCAATAAAAAAAATAATATGTAAATATGTGTGTATGTAAATAAATAAATATGTTTTTATTAAAAAATACAAATTCTTCAAAATAGTTCCAAAATGGTCCAATGTTTGTTGGTAGTGGGTAAATCGTTTAAGTAGGAAAATACATCATAAATTTATTTATAAAAATAAAATTACATAAGAACTTCAAAAAGATCATAAGTTTTTTCATTGGCTGAGTCCTGGAGTATATCTGGGTACTCTTCTTCTTTCGACAAGCACAAGTTTTTGAGTATTTCTGATGGCGATGGAACATTTTTATCAATTGTAGGTATGGAATCAATTAATTGATCTAGATTCGTTTCTAGCGTTCCAAAATTTTTTGGTTCCATAACTGGTTGAGATGAACATGGTGTATTAGTAGCCAAATCTTTATTAGAACTATATTCAAAATGCTCTTCTAGTAGAGTGAAATTTTCAGACTCCATGTCCTCTAGAGATAGTTTTGCTCCTGTGAGTACTAACTTAGCATTGGCTTCTGAAATTTCAGGATAATTATTTTCTTTGTTAAGTTGTTCATGCACTTCGTTATTAGATATCTCTGCATTACCATGTTTCTTTTTTAATTTTTCTACCAGATTTCCTGATTGCCGTACCACTGTCCCTGGGGGTTTGGATTGACATTTATGAGTTCTTTGTGAAACCTGTAAACAAAGAAATTTGAATGAATCGATTGTTTAATTATTATCAATTTATAGGTGAATCGTGGTTCCATGGTTTATTTTAATTTCGTTGGATTGTTATTAATTTGAGATTGTGGGTCAAATGATATACCTAGATTGACTTACTTTGTATCGAAAGCTTTTTTCACACGCAGTACATTTATATGGCATAACTCCTGTGTGTATACGTCTGTGAACTAGGTATGAAACTCTCTGACGAAAACATTTGCCTGAAAATAAATATTTTTTCAAAACGATCATCAAATGGTAGGTACAAGGTGTGGATTGTAAGCCTGAGTCAAGATGAAAGTGTAAAAAGTCTTGATTTTTTTTAAATATTCATGTTCAAATTCATCTAACTATAAGTACCTAGGTAGGTACTTCACAAATATTTTTTTCTATTTTGCATATTTTTTATATCTTACCACAAGTTTCACACGAGAAAGGCTTTTCGCCTGTGTGTATACGTTGATGATTATGAAGGGTGGATAATTCTTTAAAAGCGCGTCCACAGTAGTTGCAAGTATGAGGTTTTTCATCATTGTGATAAAGAAGATGCTTATGATAAGATTGTTGAAATGTAAACGTTTTGTTGCATTGCGTACACGCGTAAGGTGTTTCACCTGAAATAAAAAAAAATACAATCAGTGTCGTAGGATTTATACCTACTAACCTATTAAAATAACTCAAAAAACTAAGTATGTAGATAGTAGATGGAATAGTAGGTACAGTAGCACTACTAGACACTTTTTAGATAAACTTTATTTGGAATAAAAACATTTTGCAGAAATAATAAATTAGCAAAAAAGCTATAAAAAATACAAGTTAATAAGTTATCGCTAAAATTGGCGTCCCATAAACTTATTTAACTATCTAAAACTATTAATTTTCTGTTAGTACAATTTACCTCCAATAGTAACACCAATTATTTAACCTGTGTGTAGACGCTTATGTTTCTTCAAGAAATATTTGGTTGTAAAACATTTCCGGCATACATCACATTGCCATTGTTTGTTATCATTTCTCTCTAAATTGGTAAACTTATCTTCAGAAGTTTCAGCTGATTTATCTTTATTCTTATCCGTAGAGTTACAATTTCCAGATAAAAATCCAAAGTGAGCAACTCTTAGATGAACCATTAAAGATCCTCTCATTTTAAAATTCTTCGGACATAAGTGACATTGATAACGTGTAAAATTATCACTACATGTTTCATCTATGTTATGAATTAGGCACTTGTGCATTTTTAATATGTTAGCATCTACAAATTGTAAGCCACAAACATTACAAATAGTATTTGTTTGTGAGTTTGATGTTTCCGCCTTCACAATCGCTACAGAAACAGGCTGCGCATATTCCTCACTTGACCCCCGAGTTATATCTATCACAGGAACGGTATTCAAGGATATAGTAGGCAATTTTGGATATATCTTCACGTATTTAATTGGCGCAGCAGCTGTAGTTGATGACGATTTATTTTTAGCAACGTTAGATTTCGATGACTTTGTCGGAAGCGAAGCTGTTGTTGGAGTTGCTAAGTTAGGTTTTGACGTCAAATCTTTCTTTTTCTCAGAATCTTTTGTGCCCAAAATTTTTACATGACTGAATAAATGGATGGTAAGTTTGTCTAACCCCGATACTTCTTCTTGGCACACTGGGCACAATATGTTGTTTGTAGACACATAAATTAACCGGTCTCTTAGAGACTGCACAGAATCAAAAACCCCACAATTAACACAAATTGGGCATGGTAAAGAAGCTGCAGCAGCACTCATGATTTAGTCTTTGAATAAAATATAACAAAATTTTCACTTTAAACTACGCCAACCTCATTCTAACACGATAACGCGAAACTAAAGCAAATGAGTTATTTTTGGAAGACTGCGTACATTTATTTTTGGCGCGATTTCAAGATGTTTTACAGCATAAACATTTAAGCAAGCGCATCATATTTTCAAGGGAGGATGTGAAAAAAAAGCTTATTCTTTCAAGCCCATATTCAACAAAAAAAATACCAAAACAAAGAAAAAAACATTTTTTTAATGGATCAATAATATATAAGAATATAATATTTATTCTGTATTTTCTGTGCAATGCTTAGGCGCAATGTTAAAAGCAATAATGTGGTAGGTACATAAATATTTGTAACTTTTTGTAAAATTAAGTTTAGGGGTCAATTCTTACAATGGCTATTTAAGCTATACATATTATACACTAAGTACGGTTTTTTTCAAGATACGGTTAGTACCGCACTATATATGTCAAACAGCTGTGTGTCATTTGTTCACTCTTTATTCTGTGCATTTGTTATTGTGAAAAAATGGCGGTGAATTTGTTTGTTTGGTGATTGAGCTCAATTGTTATGTTTTTATTGATCAAACGCTATTGTGTTTAAAATTTAGACAAAAGATTGCATGTCAGGTTGATGGTGCAAGAATAATGAGTGAACAAGCTAATGTACCTCGTTATATGGCCCAACTCTTGGAAGAGTTGGGATGGAATCAAGGGACAAGAATACCATTGGCAAATCCTGATAATCAAAACTTAGAAACTTTATTGATATCAAGGTAAGTAGTCTATTTAGAATTCAGTCTTTAATTCATAAATTATAAATGTTAAGGGGTTTCAACTAGATTTTCATAGTGTGTAGTTTAGATACATTAATCAACACTATGCAATAAACATACATATATGACTATGACTATTAATAAAACTTTTAATTTTATTTAGACAAAATGAGATCCAACGTCTCAAAGAAGCGCTTATACTTCAAAATCAGAAATGTGATGATCTCAAAAAATACAAGGACCATGTTCATACGGAATACCAAGAAAATACGGTAAGTATATTAATATGTTAAAAATTACCATCCAATTATAATTAATTAAGCACCTAGTTAAAATGATAATGTTGGCAAAAAAATTTCCAGTAATATCTTTATGCTGTTTATGTTATGTTCCAGCGTCTTCTATTTGCACATAAGCAGCAGTTAGAACAAGAGGTGAAGCTTCGGCAGCTATCCTGTAACGAGGCAGACCGCCTGGACCGGGATGTTATTGACTGTGCCAAGCAGAGCAAGGATATTAATCTGCGCATAGATCGCTTACAAAGTATACATTTTTCTTTGCTATGTAATTTGTTTTGAAGATGAGCACAAATGATTACATTATTTTTAATAATGTCTAATTGGAATTAAGAAAAATAATGTTCCTTCTAGTCTAGTGTTAATGTTTTTGTTAAGTGGATACTTCAAATTGCCAAATACGGTAACACTAGAAATTTTAATGAAACAAAATTATCTTTATTATCAATTTTGACCAAGATTTGGTAATTATTCTCTATGTCATGGTATCATGATATTATACTAAGATACAGGCAATAAATGCTTAGTTTAGGTATCATTAATTACTTTCGCACACTAACCTTAATTTTATTGAAATCAAACTTGTACGTGTTTAGGCTAAGTTTTTATACAGTAATAAATTTATTCTTATTCTTATTATCAGATGAGTTTTTCCTTGAATATTGCGAGGGTAGCATTCAGAAGACTAAATTTTTCTTTTCTGCATCTATTCTAGCGAACATTGCCCGTCTGCTAAAGAAGGCGGATTCTCTCAAGGGCGAAGTGTGCGGTGACCGAGGCGCGCTGCAAGAGTGGCGGGCCGCGCTCGAGCGGAGCGCCGGCGACATCTCCGCCATCGAGCAGTTCACCAAGCAGGACCTGTCTAAAGCTAAGGCAAGATCAGTTCCTTACTTCAAGCTATACAGTAGCAAGTACAGCAACATATTTACGCGCGAGCGATAAGGATGGGTAGCTTGGGCTCATTGGACGAAATTCTACGTGCTCGGCGACCGGGCTTTTTTTAGACTGCTATGAACTAAGACACAACACATAAATGAAAAAAATTCAGTCTCTTTAAAGATTATGTTTTGTTTCAAGTGGCTGGGGTCTCCTTTTAAGTATAATACCTGGGATAGGAGGCCCCACTCTTTCTTAAAGTTACAAAGATACTTGTTTGTATTAAACAAAGCACTAAAATTCACAAGTACGTATTACTAGTATGAGAACAACTCAAACTCTTATTTTTTTCTAATTGGGTTTCTATATCTAATTATGGACTTTTCCACTTACACTGGGGGTAGAACAGTTATACTGTGACTTTTTTACTTCTTATTAAATTGATTGTACAATTGTGCCCCTTTTAGTGCCATGAATTCTTCTAATTTCTTCTACTAACTTCACTATACCTTCAGTGGTTGAGTTTAATTGGTTAAACAGTTTCATAGATCTTGACTACAACTTGATGAATCATTAACTTTTATGAACATTAATTGTTTTCTTCCAGGCTCTGGAGACCAAGCGGCAGAAGTTAAAGCTGGAACATGATCGCATCCACGACCGTCTTGCGCAACTGGTGTCCAACCTCAGTGCTGAAGAAAGGGCATGCGAGAGGATCTCTATTCAGGTATATTCCTTTAGTCAAGACAAGCAGTTGAAGCAATTTTCACAAATAAATTGATTTGATTTGAAGCTCTGCTCAAAAGACTGAATGTTCATTGGTGATCTTTACTATGGTAATGGTACTACTAGGTTCATAACTCCAAGGTAACCACTAATCTAATCCTAATCTGGCCTGATCGTCACCATCAGATGAGATACAGGCCAAGAGCTTCCTCGTTGTGGATAAAAAAAAATGTGATAGGATAAGAGCTACGTCAGAAATTAGTTACTTGAATCTAACTTTGTGTCATTTTGTTTAGGTGATGGAAGGTATGGACCAGAGGAAGCAAATGATGACAATGTGGACCAGCGCCGTTGAGAATTTAAGACAACGCGATACCGACATACGACACATTAGAGAGGTGACTATTTGTTAAATTTCTATTACTCATTTGTTGTTTCAAGGCAAAAGCTTTAACCTAGCTTCTACATAAAGTGCGTGTAAAAATTAATTATAAATCTCTTGATTCAAGGACTACGCAGTACTAGAAGCCGAGGCGAACAACATCGCGGAACAATGCCGCGAGCAACAAGCCTTCTGCGACCAACAGCGCGGCAACAACTTGGACGCCGGGCGCGAGAACATGGGCATGATGCAGCGCCTCAGCCAGATGCGCCTCGCCTACCAGGAGATAACCGACCTCAACACCTCCCTGGACAGCGAGGTGAGTGCAATGTGCACCTTACTGCGTCCACTCAAGGACCACAATACAACGGCGCGAGAACATGGGCATGATGCAGCGCCTCAGCCAGATGCGCCTCGCCTACCAGGAGATAACCGACCTCAACACCTCCCTGGACAGCGAGGTGAGTGCAATGTGCACCTTACTGCGTCCACTCAAGGACCACAATACAACAGCGCGGCTATAACCTAGATCCTAGACACACAGTAAGAGAACATGTTAACTTAACGATACAGAATTTAGGAATATCATTCCACCTGTCACCCTTCTACTAATACGCCAATGACAGTAAGCCGCATGATAAAGTATGACCTAATCTATCCTACAGTTAATGTAAGGCCTGTGTACTTCGCTAGGACGTTTATAGGCATACTTTTGTTTCTTTCAAAGTCAGCTCTAAATAAATACATTCCATTGCATGTTCCAGATGCACTGCCTGCAACGTGAGTTAAGCAACATGCGAGCGACTCTAGAGAAGCTTCACATGGAGAACCGGCACATCATGGATGACCAGCACCGCAAGGACATGGCGCTACAGCTCGTCAACAATAAGGTCAGTTCATGAGTCAATTGTCATATTGGGTGCTTTTTCCTAAGTGGGGTCACACGTTCACAAGCCTGGTGTCACCTAGTGAACCGCTATAAGCATCTGACATAGCTCTATCCGCTTTAGAATGCAATCATATAAACAAAAAATACAAAGTGATCTGTAGTCCCCCAACACCACCGTGACACCACAACAGGGAATCTAAATTTTGAGTTCAGAGAGTCCACCAACTCCTTAGCTGCTTGTATATTAGTAGTTGGGTTATTAATTTGGTATTTGATAGCCATGTTTAAAATCACTGGTTAGGGCCATGATCAAATGTACCTATATTTGTATGATAGTGTGTTGTTTGTTAAACCCTATTTTGTTTTACAGATAAGAGAGCTCAAGGAAAAATTGACAGACTCCTTGGATAAATCCAAGTCGTCTGAAAAAAGGGCCAAAGAGCTCGAAGAGATGTTGAACGTAAGTAACAATTTCCATGCATTCATGAGCACTTCTCAGACAGTAAAATATAAACTTATAATTTTTCAATATACGGTGTTGATACCTTTAAGTGTGCTACTACCTAAAAAACGATAGCCCTTTATCTTATCGTCGTTGACGAGTTAAAACCTCGTAAGTCGAATTTTTACTTCGTAAGTCATATTTGACACAGAATTAGTGGTTATTACCACACTGGATAAACACGAGCGCCCCAATAGCGAGCTATTGGATTCCGATGTAGAGTGGACGCAAAGGCCTCTAGAAATAGTGTATGCGCACTAAGATGTTGGTTACATACATTAATAACTAATGCTGTTGTTTGTAATAGACAAAACCGGGAAAACGTTTCATAAAAAAGTATTCAGGAAACGGTTATTTGTCTACTGAAAAATTTAGTTTTTGGTACTCCCGAGGTTTTCTTCATCGACGTTATGCCAAAGCGCCAGCATGTTATAGGAAGAGGAGCGCTACGCCAGCCAACTGACGGTGAATCAGCAGCGAGCGATGCATTGCTCCTTCGTAGAGCAGCAGAAACTGCTGGCGCTCAAGAACGAAGAAAAACTGTTCCATATGCAACTGAAGGGTACACACGTTTGTGGCACTTGACTTGTCAGCGCACTGTTCTGTTGTTGTTGTTGTTCAGCATTGTATTTATGTATTTAACTTTATAATGTCCCAATAGCAATTATAGGAACACCTGCTGTGAGGCTCCTAAATTCGATATCAATAAAAGTGTCAACACAATAAAGCAAAAGATGATAAAATTGCTGTTGGGGTTGTATGTGCGAAGTGTTTACATTTGTTATTTGTAGTTTTTGGTATAGGGTTTGGTCACAGTTTGTTTCATTTTAGAAGCACATTTTAGATAAAGAAGTTACGTAACAAGAAAAAAAAGAATTATGTATATTAATATGTATGTATTTTAATTGAATCATCGTTTTCGATTTCACCGTTGAGTCGCTCATTCTAAATTAAAACTTTTTACTGAATTTGCAACATAGTAATATTATTGTTTCAGCCTCTAAAGCAATAATGAGTAAACTGGACACGAAGCAGCGCGGCGTTGAGAGAAACCTACAGAGCCAGAAGGAAACACTATATTCAGTCGTATGTATCGATACTTATCACGTATTCTTCTTAACTTTCTGGGAATTACTGGTAGTGAGTGATTGAGATATTCTAGGTCAAAATTCCATTCTTTTTATATGAACAGTTATAACTGTTCATATAAAAAGAATGGAATCTTATAAGATTTGACGTGTTTTTCTAGTGTTATCAAGTTGAAACAATTGGAGCCCGCGCATCTCACATGGAAGGCGCTCAGGCCGAGCGTGAATGCTCTGCAGAACTTGTGGAAAGAGAAAACAGGTGAACATATAACTCATTTCACCCGATCGACTTACTCTTGACCAATTTTTGCCATTGGATTTCATATAGGATTACTCCATGAGAGGGAAGCTCGTTCCCTCTGATGCTTATTTTGGAATTTGGATTATGTTGTGTACCATGGCCAAGACTATTTATTAATTTAATGTACAGTCACGGAATGAATAGGTTCGTCAGTTTTCAAATTGATTCCTTCAACGAATCGCGAGCACATATTACCTTTTGAAACTATATTACAGAATAATCTCGAGTTAGAGAAAATAATCTTTAACTGTTCGTCACTAAAGTCCAAAATTATTCAGATCAAAGTTGTTTGACGATTTATCTTGTCAAGAAGATTATTATGATTGATAAACTAAAAGACTAACGGCCGAATACTGAAACACTACTCAAATCCTTCACTCAGCTGACGGGCTCCTAAATTTAAGTATCCTTCAATTTTAAATGGTATTCTCAAACACCACTCAACGGATTTGAAGCCGTGATCAGCTAAGCAGCTCTCAAATGTTTACATAATGGCAACATTTACCAAAAAAAGTATGTTTTCATTTACACAAATGATGACTTTACGTTTTTTATCCATTACACGCAGCATCGTTTGGTTATGTATTGTCTTTTATGGAAATATACTCAATCAACTTAACATAGAACAGTTTATTTTTAGTTTCTATTATACATAATTCTCGTTTTATTATATAAAAAAATTAATGCTTGCATTTTTATTTAATTAAAAAAATAATTTTAAAGGTGAAACTTTTTATTGTTGAAATCTATTAAGTGGCGATCGTGGACCGAAACGTAACCACAATTGACATTTATCATTGTTGACAGAGCATCAAATTGACAAATCAACAACTCTTGGAAAAGCTGCTATAGCTTAAACCCATATGCGATGTCCCCATATTCCTCAGAAATAGGCATGTTTATGTAAAGCGATTTCATAGCAGCTATTTTGGTTGATACTTTGTGCACTATACGATGCACAGTTGGCTGTTCGATGTGGAAGATATCACCTAGTACACACGTTCATAACTTCCCGTTGCGTAGAACCGTAGGGTTATAACATTGAGTTATAATGTACAGTAATATTACTTCAATGGGTTATAATAAGTATTTGGTCCACTGGTTGTATGGCGTTTGGAGGGGTTTCAAAGAGCTTCCAAATTATGAATCCAGAAACAACACCGTTTCTTTTGAGACGCGGAACCTCGCTCAGAATTGCATGTCATTATAATAATATTTTTCAATAGTGTTCAGCCTTATTGCGTTCCTGCGATTAGATCTAGGTATTTCCTCGAGCCTCGAAAGAAATGATAACGATGACACAGACATTATTTACCACTCTTTAGGTCTATTTAGGTATAAGAATAGGATTTAAGATACCGCGCAAGCACTCTCAAATTTAACGGCTGCTCAAGACGATTTGACAGTTGTTTGAGTAATGCTTAGCGTTGAATGGCGTTTCAGTATGCGAAAATTCATTCGAGTGGCGTTTGAGTGCAACTTATTTTGAGAGGTGCTTAAAAATTGAGAACTGCTCAGATATTGTTTTGAGTATGCGAAAAGTAAGTTTAGGAGCTGCTTAACTATTTGAGAAGCCGTCAAATATTTGAATGGCGTTTCAGTATTCGGCCGTAAAACCTTCTTGTTGGTTCAACCTGTCATTATTATTTCTATTAAATTAAAAAAAAAACTATTGTCAATTGGTCAATGTCATCATTGCATTGCACTGATGGGATAGAAAAATAAACAAGCAAAACCTTATTCGTTAGCAAACGTCATATTTATTTAAATGTTAGCAGCACTGTTTCTTGCACTGTTATGTTGGCAGGTTTGACTCTTACAGTACCTACCTCATGGACCTATAAAAAAAGGCGGACGGAACTCGCGCTACAACAAAACTGTGACGCAAAATTTTGGCGTTTGTCTATTGTGTGAGTGAATTTAAGGATGCCATGTTAGCCAAAACATGTTACCCTTTTATTTTGAGAAAAACATAGATCGGCAGATGTTACTTGGNTTCTTCATTGAACTCTACAGATTTATTATAAGTATAGATATCCCGTTTTCATAATGGTGCGTCCACACTGGGCAAACGGGCTCGCGCGGCACGCTGGTCATCCTGCTCACCCTGCTCTTGAGTGAGCAGGATGCCGAGTTTTACCATTACATGTCACCATTACATGGCTGTAAAAGCCAGTTTTGTATAGTGTCACATAGCACAACAGATATGCCGTGATAATGATGTCAGCAGAAACTAGTAAACTCCATTTTTGCCAAAACTACAATGAGCTCTTTCAGATGAGCTGACGGGCGTTTTTTAACAGCATAATTATATCATACATATTTTGGATTGTCCTTTTAGTATAAGATCCCACTATAAAACGACCTGCACCGAGATGCTATTAAGTCTTAGATTAAACAAAGGCACGCTTTTTTAACACTTCACTTAAATATTAATTAAAAATTCCCAAAAAAGCTAATTAAATAGGTAAGCACCAAAATAGTCTTAGGCCGAAGACTTAGGTGGTGCAACTGCACCACCTAACTTTTACCGTAACTATAACTTTATCCGGTGTTGTATGGAGTTTGACAGATTTTTTACGTTTGTTAAAGTTAAAGTAAGATGGTGTAAGGCAACTCGGCTTAAGTCTATATCATTTCAAGTGTCTTAATGGCCTGGTCTTACTCGCTAATTAGTTCGTAGAATTTCACAAGCTGTCCGTGGAATACGATCAACTTAACTTAACGATGAAGCACTGACTCAATCTCCAAAGCAAGTGAGAGAATTTCATAGAATTGTAACGTAATTTACCTGGTCGCGATGTTTCACGTAAAGTCGAAAGTCAATGTCAAAATTCCTTTATTAATGCATGGACTATTAAATAATGCTTACAGATAGTCAAATATTAAAACAAAATAAAATATAAGACTTAAAAAAACTTAAAAACTTTTTCTCTACACATAAGGGGCCTTTACATATCATAATGTTATTGCCCTACCAGCGCTCCAAGACAAACATTGGACAAGTGCTGAGAAGAAGCGCCGCAACAAAGTCAGTAGTTGCCCTTTTACTAAAGTAGCCCTTTTTCTGAAGCAGCCTTCAACGAAGTGTTCATGGCGACGACGGATTGACGGAAGGCGCCGCATACGACAATATTAGTTGCTTAAAGATTCGTCAAAAAATTTATCCCGTTTTCATTACATGGCTGTAAAGGCCAGTTTTGTATACGTAGTTTGGACGACATATCTTTTCAACCTTTCACACAAGGCACACCTTTTCAACACTTAAAGTAAGCTTCGCCTGTAAGTGGCCTGGAACAAACCTTCTAATTAGTTTCTTAGATAATAATCTGTATGTAGAATACTCAACTTCAAGCACCGCTATTTCGAAAGCTAGCTGAGGAGCTTAGTATTCTACACTAATAAACAGAGGTAAAGTTTGTGCGTTTGTAGGCGTAATCTCTGAATTTATTTTGTTAATTATGTTACTATTATTTGTGAGTATCATATAGGTTATACAGTGTGTCCGGGCATGTAGTGATCAAACTTTATGGGCTAAATCTAGGGACAATTTTATCGATAAAAATACTTCAAATTTGGGGCTTGACCCATTTATCGCAAAATTACAAGGATTTAAGTTTTTAATTTTCAGTTTTCACCTCTTCCTTCAAAAACAAGTGAAAGCGTGGGTAGCTTAACATTAATAAGCAAATATTTTATATCATGCGATAGCCAATAAAATTATCTATTAGCAAAAGTAGAAAACAGATACAAGTTTCATACATTTGATACATTTTAAGGGAGTAAGAATGGATTTCATTAGAAAAAAACATGACTTTTTTCACTTCTTTTTCAGTTATTTTCCAACACAAGAAAAACCGGGTCGTTAAGGTGTGTTTTATTTGCATTGTATTATTAGTATTTGAGCTATTCTACAAAACGAACGTAAATTTATTAGTCTACGTCTATTAGTTTCGACGTAATTGTTGAACAAAGATACCCCTTCCCAGTGGTTTCCATAGTAATCGGAATAGGTTGTGTGATTCTTTCAGGCAGTGCATTTTCGCATGTCGCGTGCGCTATGGAAACCGCTGGGAAGAGGGTATATTTGTTCAACAATTACGTCGAAACTAATAAACGTAGACTAATAAATTTACATTCGATTTGTTCGTTCGTTTCAGCCAAATGACTTCCACTGCTGGACAAAGGCCTCCCCCAAGGTTTTCCACAATGAACGGTCCTGCGCTGCCCGCATCCAGGCTCTTCCCGCGACCTTTACCAGATCGTCGGTCCACCTAGTAGGAGGCCTGCCCACGCTACGTTTTCCAGCCCGTGGTCGCCACTCGAGAACTTTCCTGCCCCAACGTTCGTTTTGTAGAATAGCTAAAATACTAATTATACAATGCAAATAAAACATACCTTAACGACCTGGTTTTTCTTGTGTTGGAAAATAACTGAAAAAGAAGTGAAAAAAGTCATGTTTTTTTCTAATTGAATCCATTCTTACTCCCTTAAAATGTATGAAACTTGTATCTGTTTTCTACTTCTGCTAATGAATAATTTTATTGGCTATCGCATGATATAAATTTTTTTCTTATTAGTATTAAGCTACCCACGCTTTCACATGTTTTTGAAGGAAGAGGTGAAAACTAAAAATTTAAAACTTAAATCCTCGTAATTTTGCGAGAAATGGGTCAAGCCCCAAATTTGAAGTATTTTCATCGATAAAATTGTCCATAGATTACGCCCTTAAAGTTTGATCACTACAAACCCGGACACACTGTATATTTAACTAAAAAATTTACTATGACATAACGAAATAAATTCAAGCTGGCGAAGCCGCTGGCAAAAAGAGATTTTCGCTGGTAGTAGTTTCTAGTGGCTAAAGCGTCTTGCGATGTTTCACTAAATATCGTATAATGAGCTACTTTACGCCGTATTCCTGTGAAGTGTTAAATGAAGTGTTTTCGCCGGCAGGAGGGGGTTACGGGGGAGTGGAAGGGT